GGTTGATGATGTCTGAGCTGGTTGATGGATGTCTGAGCTGGTTGATGATGTCTGAGCTGGTTGATGATGTCTGAGCTGGCTGATGGATGTCTGAGCTGGTTGCGTTTCCATGCTGTCTTTATACAGGAGCATTAAATACGTGTGCAGGTCTCTGGCAGGGGGTGGATCCTTCCCAGGGGATGTTGCTTTGCTCTGTGGTAGTTTCAGGTTTAGAGTATGAGTTCCCATGTTGCCAGCCCTTCATCCTCTCCCAATTTGCCCAATTACCAACATCTTGCAATGCCATAGTGCCTCTCTTCCTCCCTTCGTCTTCTTCCCCCTTCCTCTTTTCCCTCCTATGCAGGGGATGGAGTCCAGTGCTTTACACATGCTAAGGAAGTGCTCTACCACTAAGCCACACTGTCAGCTCCTAGAATCTATATTCAATGTTTAACTGTCCTATTTCTAGAATGTCCCATAGCTGGAATCACAGTATACGTTAGTTTTCAGACTGGCTACTTTCACTTAGCAATCGTGTGCTTAAAGTTCCTACGTGTGTCTAAGCTACGTAGCTTTTTTTGCATTTATCTCTGAATCATATATTGTTGTCACTTACTAAAGGACATCTTCATCAATTTCAAATTTGGGCAGGGGAATTGCAAGTTCAAGTCCTGCCTGGGATATAAATCCAAAGCCAGTCTGGACATTTGCTAAGACCCTACCTCAGACTCAGTACAAGCAGAGCTCAGCACAGCTCAGTGGTAGAGTGCTTGCCTCGTGTGCTCAAGAGCTGGGGATCCAATACCAGTGTCACAGAATGATGAAAAATAATGTCTTCTCTGCCTTGTTTCTTTTCCTGTACAAGACCAACTGGACAGGGTCTAGGTTTTCACAGGTCTGGAGGTATCGACCAAAATCCCAGCAGCCCTACTGCTTTGCAACTCTAGGTTGGGCGGTGGAGATGGTGGAGTGGTAGGTAGCACACTTGCCTAACACATCTGAGGCTCTTGGTTCGAAGCTCAGCACTGCTAAACAAGATCAAAAGAGCAAAATGAAGTGAAATAAACAAGAAGCATACATCATCTATAGAATCATCTCAGATATAATCAAAGTATTTGCATAACATCCCCAGGAAGCGCCTCCTTTCACTACAGCAGTCAGGAAGAAAGTTGAGTCAGTGCTCCATTTCAGAGACATGCAGTCCAGAATATAGTTCCCTGGTCAGCTGCATAGAATCCCGGGCATTTTAATTCAAGAATGCTAAAACCTGGACAGTCGTGCACACCTATAATACCTGCACTCAAGAAAATGAAGAATTTTGAGTTCAACAAGGCTACCCTGGGGAACATAAGATCTTTCCTTTAAAAAAACAAAAAACAAAAAAAAAAAGATATGTATGTCAAGATAGATCCTGTCTATGTTATAAACATCATTCAAAACTTGTATTTAAGAGTGAACTGCATGGGAGGCACATCTCTAATCCCTAGCACTTGGAAGGAAGAGGCAAGGTAGTGAGCTGAGATAGGCTGCTCAGGCTTACAGAAGGAAACTGTATTTGGAGACACAAAGCCTGCTTTTAAGACACGTAAGCACAGATGTGACGCTAAGTCCCTGTTTTTTTTTTTTTTTTTTAGTTTGGTTTTTCGAGACAGGGTTTCTCTGTGTAGCCTTGGCTGTCCTGGAACTCACTCTGTAGACCAGGCTAGCCTCGAACTCTCGAACTCAGAAATCCGCCTGCCTCTGCCTCCCAAGTGCTGGGATTAAAGGCGTGCGCCACCATCGCCCGGCAGTCCCTGTTTTTATTACACAGACCCATCTTAGAATTCTCAAAGGGTTTTGTGTGTGCATTTGTTTGTTTTGGTTTTAGTTTTTTCGAGACAGTTTCACATAGCACAGGTTAGCTTCAAACTTACAAAACTGAATGTAACCTGAATTACTGAGTCTCCTGCTTCTGCATCTAAGATACTGGGATGATAGCCAGGCCCAATTACACCCCAATCACGTCTCAGGCTATATCCCAGACACCTCTGCCAAGGACAACACCAGAGAAACATTCTTAATAGAAAACTTTATTGTCACTGATATGTCACTGTAACATAATTTCATAGCAGACCTGTGCAAAAGATCTCACATTACCAATGTCATGAAGAGATTGCACACTTCTGGGCAGGACGTGCAGCTCTGGGTCCCCAGTGTTGACACCCAACATTTTACCCCTTTATCTACTAGAAAGGCAAGACATCATTATGCAAGAACAAAGCCACCTAAGGGCAGCGAGAGCTCCGAGGTCAGACACTCGCCGCCTCTGAACGGCCACCACAGGAGCAGCACATGTTCGCCTCAGTGTGCTCAGTGCAGGCCTTTGAAAAACGTCAGAATATGTAAATGCGCTGCACCTCTCTCTTCAACACTTGAATGTGGAGGTCTGGAGCATTTCGGCTCTTCATGAGCCCATGCAGGAATATGGCTACTATGGATGCGGTGAACTCAACATACTAATTCCAAGTTTGGCAACCATCAGCAAACTGTTCAAAGGGAAAAACACAGTGGTCAGGAAAAGTACACAACAGGTGATTTTTTTTTTTTTAGAAAAGAGGAACATAGTGTGCAGGTCCTTCACAACAGTTCGTGAGAAGTACTGAAGTAGAACACCCCTTCCTCCACCCCTCTACCCCAGTGGGAGCCACAGAAAACCCACACCAAGTCTTAACAGTGGCACACGGAACTCCTAAACCAATGCCAGTAACTTGGAAGGCAAGGGCAAGAGAAAGCAACACCCTAGAGGCCACAGTGCTGACTCATGGCAGGTCTCCTGCCTCCTAGTTTAGTGGTTGTGACCCTGATCTAGGAGGACTTTTTTTGTTTCCAGTGTAAAAGACTGATCAACAGCATAACCATAGCCAAAGAACAGGTATCTACTTCCCTGAGACAGTCTGTTGTTTTGCTTTTTAAAAAATTCTCCTTCCTCCAGAATGTGTTTAACATACTTAAGAACTTGTCAATTTAAGACAGTTTGGTTTAAGTCTTACAATTAAAATTAGAAAATCGATTCAGTAAAAAAATTCCCTTTTAGCAAAACTTTCAATACAGGACACTCAAGTAACTAAGAAATAGGGAACCAAAGTGGACAGTTCACACAGCCATACACAAGGGCGTGTGGCAACGTAATGTAAGGAAGCCTAGGACAGTCCACAGAGCAGCCT